CAGAAAATGAATTAATGTCCACGTTTTTAAGCAAGTCCTTTGGTAATCATCAGGGCCACCACCTTTGCACATACAAATCTTTCCAAAAATCCATCCCTGGAGAATTGATGGGGAAAGTAATCAGTTTTCATTCTAATACCAACAGCTTCCCGAGTAAGGCAGTTTCCTAAAGCAGGTGGTACGCCAGTATAGGATTTCTCTTACCTACAAACTCCTGAACACCATCAAAACATCTTCCTCAGTCCTAAGGCCATATGTGGACTCTCTCAAGGGCCCCTTCAGTAGTGACTTACTGACCTCTGCCAGTATTATTATTGTAAAGGTTTATGTTGCTTCAGGGATGTTCAGATCTGCACACTATGAACTTGAACTTTGCATCATTTTTTTTCAGTGAATAATACATCCTTCATCGTCTTCCACTTGGAATCGTAATGGTATTTTTCTTTCCCCCAGGTTTCAAGCTGACAAAGCCTTATCTGGTGCCAGGCACCAGATGACACACGAATACTTTAATGTTGTTAGATTATCCTAATTCATTTAGAGGTCCACAGACACTTGTGTGAAGCAGTCCTTGGGATTTTCATTGGCTGTCTTTTAGCATATCTTCCTCATTCTTGAGCAGTAGTTCCCAACTTGTGGCCCACGGAAACACTGCAAATGGTCCAGAAGTGCAAGAAATGACTACGTACAATAAATGAACAAAATTCCCTCGGTAGACCTCCTAATAAACAAAAAGGCTCACATTTAACAAAGCACAATTTTATTTAAAAGGGTTGTGGAATTCACAAGAGGCAATATAACATAACTTGGGTTCAAGTCTCACCTCTGACACATCATGACTTAGGTACTTATGTGATACTGGATAAATCACTATTCAGCGCTCTAGGTAACTAAAAAGTGCTGACTTCGCATTGTTGGTAAATAGTTTCCTCTCCTGGGAATTCCCCAGACTGATGAAATCACAAGTCTCACATTCCTATCTTTGTCACTGAATTCACAGTAGCGTGTCATCATAAATATTCTCAAACACTGATACTAATAGTGCAACTGCAACCCACATACGGGGTCCATAAGATTTTGACATGAAAAAGGAGTCCGAGAACTGCTATCTTAGAAACATAAATGAACAAAGGAGCCATCTAAAATGAGAGCCATAATATCCGTCCAGTAGCCCTGGCAGAAAGGAGAAGCTAGCGTCAGGTAGCTAACATAAGGAGGAGCTTGGTGCTTGATTTTCCGTTTCTCCTTTTCCTTTGGAATGTGGTTTGATGTTCACTGGAATCCTAATGAAATGACCAGACTGGTGTCATGAAGAACATCCTTCTGAATGGAAGGGTCCTCTGGAGAAAGGAGAATGTAACACAATCCACCAAATCAACGAGAAAGTCAAACCCCAAAATGAAAGGGAAAAATGTTAAGCACATTGCTAAATGTCCCCACCACACCAGACTCAATGTCACTTTTGTACCCCTGAGGGGTTATAACTCACAGGTCTTACAAACCAGAAAGTCATTTTTGCCTGGCAGAGTTGGGGGTGAGGGTGTTCTGTGGTCAGCAATAGATGGATAGCACGTTACTGCCAAGGCCTCATCACCTGAAGTTTAGCCAACAGGTTTTAACTGTTTGGCCTCAGTTAACAGCCCAAACCACTTACTGAAGCACAGCAGGGTTGGAATCTGTGTTGACAGAGAAAGTATCCACACCAAAGAAATCACAGATCTTTTTAAGTTTCACAACTCAAGGATGTAACTATTGAAATCAAACACTAGAGCTTACAACTCAGAGTGCCCATTTTTTAAAAAAAGAGGTGAAGAACTTTTTTTTTTTACTCCATATTGGGCTACCTATTAAACAGGCACCTCACAGCTACCCTCTATTGCCCACTTAAAAAAAATAATCTTACTTGGGAAAAGCCGGATTGAAAGGAGCTTGTGATCACAGCAAGCATTCCGGGGAGTAAACCACTGTGTCATCACATTTGCAGAAACCATTCTAAGATGCCATAAAGAGAAAGCAAGATCTCTAAGAAACTTTCTGCCCAGTAGCACTTGGGTTGTCCTACTGTTCCCGAATCTCCCGAGGCATGTCAATTCTTTGTCTATGTAGATACTGAACTTGCCCTAAGAAGCAGTGCCTAACTCTCAATATTTAAAGAGTGCAAGGCAGGTGGCCTGAAATTTTAAAATGAAGACCAAAACTGAGCTCACATACACCAGCTTCTTCTATTGTTGTGTATTCATCCTTCTACTAAAGATTTATGTGTCCTCTAGGGCCTAAGTACTTTCCCTCTCCCAATTTTCTGTTGTTCCCAGTGGATGGAGAGTTCTGTTGAAACAAAAGGACAGATCAATTCATCTATTTATAGTCTTGACTCCTGCTCTAAACTGTTGCTGGCTGATTTATCCACAATAATAAAATGGACATCTTAGTCTGAAAACAGACAAAATGTTAGCCCGTGGAAGCACTGAATTACAATCCTAATAAAGTGCCATATACAGTTGTCTTACAAAATAATTCCTCTCAGCATGAGCATCAACTTTGTGGTGGGTTTGTGACTGAGCTGGGGTCACAGATAGGTTCAAACCTATCTTTTAATGGCAAGACAAGTGTTTTCTATTTCATCACACTGATACAAAACCTAAGCAAGGGCTTGGTTTTCTTCTGCAATTGGCTATCCCACCACACAATATCACCATCTGAAGAACTTAAAGTTGCAAGTCACTGAAAAATCAAGATCTCCCTCCAAATCCCACCCCCCAGGGGACAGGAAGAAATGACGTGTTACCAGTAGACAACTTAGCAGGAAAGGCTTCAAAGTTACCAGGGAACAGTTATGTCCAGAAAAAAGGAGGCAGACCAATCCTTTGGTACTACCCATGGAACGTCATTAAGTCTAGAAGCGGGCATCCGTATTGGGTGCACTCCCACAGACGATGTACTGGAGAATACAGACACAGAATAAGGCAGGGATGGGCTGTGATGGGCAAGGGCACTGCTGGAGAGGAGGTCCCCAAAGGGAGAGCACTGAGCCTACAAGGCTGAAAGAAATGTTCCCTTCTCATCTTTCCCTTCGAACTCTTAGCTTCTTTTCGAGGCATAGCTCAGATTCCACCTACTACAGGACAGCCTTCTCCAATGATCCCATTAACTGTCAAGTCTTCCTTCTCAATGACTTCATACTTCTCTGTCTGCATGTCCCACCCCCTCGGATAATCTCAGTTTCTTGTACACGGTTAAGAACTTCATGGCTGGATGCGTTCACATCTGAAGACAGCCACAGAACCAATTCTATCCCCGCCACCGCTGCTTAGTGAAAGCGGAGATCTGAAACCAAAACTACGCTAAGTGCGAGCCAACAAAAAGCAAGCGACTCAGCTCTCATTCGTTCTGCTCATTCACACGAGGGTATCACGGGGCTCGAAACGCTTCATAATTTTCAGACACCATTTATTTCTGAGGCTCTCACACAACAAAGTATTGTGCTTTCCCCACTACATAGGGAACTGATGTGAGAGCTGGAGGAAGAGTGGTGTGACCCTGGGCAAGTCACCTGATCTCTTCATGCGCCCAGTAGTTACTACTTAAGAGTCACTGTTAGACCAGTGACTTTTGTGTGCACCTAAGCAGGGAGGGCCCCACAGGATATAAATCACAAAGGTCTAACAAAGATCACAGATCAGATCCTCTCCCCAAGGAAGTGAAAGACGACTTTAGGGATTCAGATTTCCCCTTTCCTCTTCTCAAAAGAGTCTCATCACTCCCTATTATGGTCCCTTAACTTCTTCCTATAATGAGCTAGGCTTGTGGGAAACTACAAGGAACTTCTAGGATCTGGTTAGATGCTCATTTTACACACGGGGCAACTGAGGCAGAGTTTCAATAACTTGGCCACGATAACAGAAGGAAGTGGGGGGCTAAATGTCACACTGCATTCCTAGAAGAGATTATCCAGTAAAAACTCTGACACTGAAATCATCAAATACCTGCCTAGAGAAGGGTGTTATAAATTCTTCCACACTAGTAATTTATTTCAAGTCATAAACATCTTTTAAAAGTCCATCACCTGTAGATCAAAAATCTTTGGTCACAATGGCATTGGACCTGTACACTCTCTACCTCATACTATGTGTACAGCAGTTATTTTCCACATCAGCAAGGCTTCCTCTTCAAAGTTGGTTTCCAAAAAGCCAAAATGAAAACAAGAAAAAAGTACCAAAAAGTAAGGTAGGTGAGACCTCGATGTTTTCACCATCACTGCTAAATTAGCTCAAAATCCCAGTAACAACTTAAGGGAACATCAAAGACAACAGACAATACTCCTAGTGGTTCAAATGTATTGGGAGATCACACGTTCCCCAACATATGCTTTTTAAAGTACAAAGCTCCCAAATGGAGGATACATACCACTTCCCTTGTGACTTGAATCAAAACAGAAGAGCAATGAAGATATGAATTAGGGTTTTATGGGTGGTTCAGATTAGTGCTGTCAAACTCAAAGAGAAAGACAGAAAGAGGGTCTGTGAATTCGTACCCAAGCTGCCTGGGTCTGCGTGTTTGACATCTTTGGTCTTGCCTATCAAGCTTTTTTCTTTTTTTTTTTGGAGGGGGATAGGGGTGGGAAGAGAAAAAGAGAGAATATTTGTGTGTGATCAAACAGGCTATGTGTTTGTAGTGTTGAGGATTCGATGAAAATTACTCTATGAGGCAACTTTTGGAATTCTCTCTACTGTTAAGAAACAGTAACAATTTATGGTCAATGTCGTGACTGAATTCCCAAGACGTGGTAAAAAGGGAAGGTTCTACAAATTTCTGTTAAGGCTTCAATACCGGAATTCTTTGTAAAAGATGGTGGGAGACAGGCCTGTTTCATTCACAATTCAATTCTGAGGACAGACCTAACTCTTGACTTCTTACAAAGTCAGAACAATGACTAAGGCACACAATATGAGAGGCCCCTTTGGGCCACCAATATTTTACTATTAAAACAAAACATAAATAACTAATGGAATAACAAAATAAAAGTTTATTTTATTAGAATTAGGAATGTTCTTTCCCTCTGGGCAACCTGAACAGTCCAGTTACAATGAAAATCTAAGAACATTAATTTCCACAGCACAAGGTGCTCTATGCACAAAATTACAGGGTTAGGAGCATTTAATCAATCCACCAATCTGATTGTCTTACCATCCCCCCACCCCCAAGTGCTCTATAATGGTTTTTTTTTTTTAGTTAAAAGGACCTCAGTTATATCAAGTCCCTTATCTTCTCTTTGTATTAATTTCCATTCCTAATAGTGGTTGAACTACATTTAACACTACAGATTCAACCGTTTTGAAAATCAAAAGCCAGTCTTGGATCTGCGTATACACATATATACAATATGCATGTATGTATACACATACACACAACCTGGGTTGTAAAAATTTACACAGAACTGGGGGTCTGCCACTGAACATTTTTGCTTTATATCCTGAGCTCCTGGTTGGGATTTCACTGAAATCTCACCTTCTGCCCAGTGCGCTGCTCAATTGAAACATGCATTAAAGAAGAAAAAGAAAGAAAAAAGAAGAAAATTGACCCTGGTGCTGGATGTGAACTGAGCCCACTACTAACAAAGGCCTGTAGGTTGGTGAAATGGGGAAGCAGCTATAGGCACTAAAACCACCAAGAAAGTCATTACAGATAATTGTGTCAAATATGGTGACAGTTAAGAATCAGGGACCAGAATAAAATGAACCACCTGGCTCAGACTAACTACTGAATTCACCCACATGCAACATCCTCGGCCTCCAACATGATACCAGAATGCATTATCTCAAAAGCAATTCTCTCTCGTTGTTGGAGGCTATTACAAAGCACATACTGTTTTGGTTACTTGTTGCAAAAAAATGGATATAAGGGGAAAATTTTAAAAGCTCCAACCTAAAAACTGCAGAATTAACTGGAAAGGCGGGGGGGGGGGGAGAGAGAGAACACTCCAGCATTTAAAAATGATCCACGTACATCTATGAAGCAGCACTAGCTGCACCTGGAAAGACCTCAGGAAAAGAATCTTTATTCAAGATTTAAACAAAAAGTTTCTCAACCCCACCCCTAAGTAAATCTTAGGGTTGATAAGACTCTAAAGGCAAAGAATGAACTCTGGGAGAGCTCAGATCTGAAACCAGGGTAGCAAGAGAGGGATGGCTGAAGGGTGCAGGAATACGCTCTTGTAAGATGGCTTATTTCAGGAAGCAGCATAATGCAGTAATACAGTGGGAGGACCTCACACTCACAATGCTGTCTGACTTTAGCTGGGTGCTAAAGAGCACTTACACAAATTTTCCTAAAAGGAGCTGAAGACATTGTAAAAACCCATGTAGGCTAACAGGAAAGAGAACTTTGTCCCTAAAACATATTGTGGCAATCAATGATCAGGGCAAAGTTGCCTCATGGAGGTTACAGGCAATGAATCACTCCTTGGGTATACAACATTTACAGGGATAGAACAAGAGGTCCTTACGGCTCAAACTGATCTTGCCCACTAGGACCTCTATTCATTTTTCATTCCAATTGGTAACAATTTTTATTTTTAAATTTATGGAAGCCAGCCTAGCGAAAAATGTCACCCCTGGAACTGCCTAACAGGTGTGTTCGCGTTGAACAGAATCAGTACAGCTCTAGGACATAACTGCCCAAGCATGGATAATGCAGACCCCCTGTATCCACCCTGTCCCTGCTGGCTCTGGGGCAAAGCTGACACCTTAGCTGGGGCTCTGCTCTCCAGGGCTGCTACCTTACAAGGGAATCCACAGCAACACACATGAACAGTCTCACCACCATTCCTTTCAAATCCAGTTTCTCATGAACTGAATGGTGGTGTTTTTTTTGGCTTGGGGTTTAAAAAAGTCTTCAAGGCAAAGAACATTCTGTTTAACATTAGGGGAGAGAGGGTGGGTAGGAGGGTTTCTAGAAAGGTGAAGAGCCACAGCTAACATTTTAAAAGGCTCTGAAGCAGCATTAAAAGACAGAAGTCGCGGAGATGCTGACACACTTCCTGTGGGGCTGGCCCTCGGCCAATCGATGAAGAGCACACAAGGCTGAACCACGCACCCATCAGAACCCTGCTTAGAGCACGCACTCACTCCATTTGGCCCCCACTGTGCTCCTCAACTGTGCTGTACGGGGAGCCAGGATTCCAGGTGTGGCATCCACTGCCAGCAATGGCACACCCGAGACGGGCCAGGCTGAGAAGCCGCGGCAGCAGCGGAGGGGAACCAAACAGCCAGGAAGGAGTGGAGAGACCAACACACCAGCCCCCCCCTCCCCCCCCGGAAAAGGAAGCAAACTGAAACAAAATGCACAGCAAATAGACGTAATCTTGAAGAATTTTAAAGAATAAATATTTTTTTTGTAATTAAACATTATGCAAACACGTGCCACGCTTGCTTTGTCCATGCATATGCGCTATATACAATTTTGAAAAATACTGTGTTGTCCTCTGGGTTTAAAAGTCATGTACAAAGTTCCTTCCCTGCTGCTTGCTCCCCCCTCCCCCCCCACAGAGCTGGGTCAGCATTGGACATGTGGGCACTCAGGGGAGAGGAGGGAGAGGAGAGGAGTGAGCAGGGGAAGGGAGGGATGGGGAGGAGAAGAGATCCCTTACCAAAGTACAACAAAGTGGCTGGTCTGGACATGAAAAGCAGTGTCAAGAAACTGTGTTTTAGGGTGAACTGTACTACACACAGGGAAAGAAAAGAAAGAGAAGAGAAGAGGAGCCAGCTGGGAGGATGAAGCTACGTTACAAGTCAAAGTTGGAGGGCTTTTAGTGCATCTGTCACACTTGTTGGCGGCCTAGAATACTGTTGTACAATGGTTTATCTACCTTTTTTTATTACAATATAATTTACTTAAACTTTCCGTTAACAAAACAGAATTCCGGTACTACAGACCAGCGGTGTCAGAACAGGCTTAGTGCCTCCTTTTTTGTGTTTTTTGTTTTAATTGCATGAGCACTCTAGATGGTAAAGTTTTCAGAGTTCGTGGTACGCAGGGCCCTTCTCAGTCCTCAATGTACTCCCACAGGTCTTTCTCGTAGCCTTCATGCACATGCTGTAATAAAACCCTTCGTCGACTCTCACAGTATCTGTGGGGGAAGGAGGGAGGAGATCAGAGGCCAATGAGAACATCTGTACTGTTAATACACTTTGGAGAAAAGATGAACGACAGATTCTTTCCCAAGTGGCACTGTCAGCATCCTATCCCAAAATGCCCTCCTGTAAAGTCCTGCTCCAGGAAGGTGCGTACCTGAGAAGAGCCCCGCCTCCCCAGGATCTTCCTCCCTACATCATATTGCCCTTTGCCCAGGTCTCTTTACTTCCTCGAAAACAAAACCCTCCCCGCTCCCCTTCACTCTTTCAACCCCATGGTTCCCAAAGACAACTCAACCCTCTGTGATCTGGGCTTGCTTTCAACACCATCTTGATATAGAATATGCTTTCTCCCAAATCAAAAGGCTTTTTAAACTGCCCAATCCAAGTGTGTATTCTCTGTCCTCATGCACCGACACCCTTTGATGCCACAGAAACTAAACACAACCTGTTACCTCTGACTGGCTCCTCTTGTCTCTTCTTCCAAGTCCCTCAAGATCCAGAATGGTCTGTCTTCTTTTTCCCCACACACACTCTCCATTTCATTCACCACAATCATCATCTTTCCCAAGTCTACAGGAAGACTCCCAAAGCCCTATGCTACCCTGATTTCTAGCTCTAGACTCACATTTTTAACCTCCCACTGAGACTGGACTGGATCAAGACCTCTACCTGTTCCAAACACGCCTTCTCTCCACCCTCCCAAATGCCATGATATGCCCGGTCATCTCATGTGAAACCCTAGTATACACTTAAAGTACTCACTTTTCTTTTATTCCCTCTTCCTTACACAGTGCTGTGATCTTCTGTACTTTCCCAGAGTCTGTAGCACTGAGTATCTGTCCCCATCTCCTTCATTTCCTATCCCTCCACCCCAAAACAGGAGAGCACCAGAACGACTTGGATACTGAAAGAATGAGTGAAGGACCGGACGACCCCGTGTGCGGCCCCACCCCCCCACAGCACCATGTTGCTAGAACTGTGGGAGCTGGCCAAGCTTGTGACCTCACCTGTACTTGTCTTGTACTTTCTGCTTTATGTCCTGCAGTGAATCTTGGGATATATCTCGCTCCAGGTACCCTGACAGCACCTCGGTGGCGTTCTCCAAATCTGCCTGGTTATTCTGCAAGAGAAACGAGAAGCCTCAGAGAACTCTGATACCCCTTAGCTGTTCCTCCGCTTGTTGCACCGTTCTTCCTCCTCACTCCCTGTTACCTGACGGCTCCCCGGGCTCTAGGACAGGCGGCCACTACACCTGAAATCTAAGCCCAGATGCAGCCACGAGGATCCTTGGGGCTCCTCAGTGGAGCCTTGCTCGACACGACTGCTCCAGAAAATCAAACGTGTTTTCTGTCCTTAAGTCTCATGGTTTCTTAAAGTCTGTGTGTTTTCTTCTCATTAGAAGAGGTCAACATTAACGTGATTCAGACACAACTAAGGCTACACCAGGAATTCACTAGCATTGTATATGCTAATCAGAAATTCAACCTAGGTTGTGAGTAGGCCTTCTGAGGCGGGCCTCTCTTTGTTAGGAAGAAAAAATCTTGAGTCAAGCTGGTGGGGGAGAAGACAGAAATCAATGTCAAAGATGGAAATGAAGATGCTTTAGGTGTCTTGTCTTTGACACTAGGCTATAAACACCTCAAAGACAAGAACTATATTGTGTTTTAACTTTTTTGAGTCTGACAAACAAAGTGTCGAGCCTATAAGTCAGTCAATAAATCTCTCATTCTGTTCACTTATAAATGACAAACTCCCAGGCCTCTACTACAACCAAGCACTCTTTCACTTCTTCCAACACTCTCTTCACACTTTCCATGGAATCTCAAAACTTGGGAACTTCTCAGTGCACACTTTCTACAAATTTGTGTCTTAGAGCCACACATCCAAAAGACAGGAAGTGTTATCTTCTATTTGGTACTAAATCAAACTATGAACATCAAATAAAACAAGATAGAAAACAAGGTACTTATAGACAAGTATAACACATGCACAATCACAAACCCACAGCAATGCTTTTCTTCTTTAAAAAACAAGGGCAAAAATATAAATTCTGAAGTGACATCAAATGTTTTTACTTCTAGATCAAAAATGGGAGGAAGTAACATACAGGCCAAAGAAGACTGGCTCTGAAGTCAGAGACTGGGGTCAAATTCTACTTTTCACATTTGCTGCTTGTGAGACAACGGCAAGTCTCTTAATGTCCGAGGATCTGAGTTTCCAATTACATCATATAAAGGGGTTGGACTACATGATCTCTGAGGTTCAGCTTTACATCTCATGATAACTCAATTGAAGAATATCCAAATAGCTTCAGTTACTTTGTGCAAAATGAGGGGGCACCATGGCTCAGTGGTTTTAGAGTGGAGTCAGAAAACCTGGGTTCAAATCTTGCCTCTGACACATCACAGCATATGACTTAGCAAGTCACTTAACTTCTCACCACCCCAGGCAACTAAGAGGCTAAATTATGGTGCAGCTGCCCCCACCTACATGATCACAGACCCAGACTCCCACCTGCCCCAAATATGCCAATGTACCTGGACAGTTGTGAGGGACAAAGAGAGGACGAATGGCAGCCACTACCCTCAAGGGATTTACAATCTAATAGGTCATTTCAGCTCATTTCTGGAAAACACTTGGTATGAAACTTTAGACAAAACCCAGGGAAAAAAGCTGAGTCAAGGTTATGATTACTGACAGATATATATAGTACAGCAGGCACAGATATCACCTGCATTTAGCAAAACAAAACAAAAAACGACATGAAGGTCCTGAGACATGGGTCGTATACAAGGTTTGTTTAAGCATGGCTGGCCCCAGAGGGTTACTCTGATCAAAGGCCTCCAAGAATAAAAAGCATCAAACAGGTTTAATTTATATTCTATCCATAGAGCTCTAAGTCACTCTTGCCACCCTGCTGAAGAAAAGCCCTCAATCAAGTTTAACAACACTTCTTTTATGCACCTTAGAATACTGCTGTCTGGTCTGATGAAATGTAAATCCTTCCCTGGTAAACCACAGCAGTCTGCTTACACCTGGAGAGGGCCTAAGAGGATACCTCATATGCTTTCTGGTCCTGTGACCAATGGGAATGTGATCTGTCTTCGCTGTCTTGTCTCAAGACTTCTCAACAGAGAAATCTAAGTTCCCCATCCTTGCTTTCATTTGCCTCTAGAACTGGACTCCTGAACATGAATTGAGAGAACTTTTTTTTTTTTGGTAATTATTTCATGCTAACTAGTTTCCTTTGTAACCTATGGATTTCATTTTAAGCATTTAAAACCATGCAAGGCCCAGGTTTCCCTGGGGAAAGCCAGGAATACATGTCACATGTGAGTTTCCCCTTTTTGTCTTAGACACTGACTCTGACTCCTCAGCTCAGGCGTCTCCTACCTCAAAGATGATGGACTGGTTATTCTTTTTGAGGTAGAATGCGAAGACGTAAGTGTACATCAGAGTGGCACGACACTGACACAGCACGTCCACTGCTTTCTTCAGAAATTGCACCTCAATCCAGGACATGTTGTGCTGCTGCATCTCCTCCATCTTCTGCTTCACCTGAGCATAGAGCTTGTGCTCAAAGCGAAGACTCTGCATGTGGTTCATGTAGCGATTGCAGTAGAACAAGTACCTCTGTAGGGCTGCCCGGGACCTCTGTGAACAGACAGAGAGCGGGTGGCTGAGCACAACAGGCCTTATCAGACACTTTCAGGTCTCGGCCATAGGGCCGGAGGGATGCAACTCACTGAGACAGACAGGCGGCTGGCCAAGCCCAGAAAGTGGCCAGAAATCATGCTCATGGGTGAAGAAAACCAATTGCTACTTGTTTGTGAAACTCAATGAAGGTGGGCCTATAAAATGTTAACTTTTAGACTGGAGAGATCAATTTACTTAGATCTTTTAAAATAAATGCTATCAGGCAGGACACCTGTGAAAAATACTAAAAATCAAAGCATATATATAGAATACTGATTATGGCTTTGCCTATAATCCTTCTTCCTAATTCATATATTGTAAAGTCTTTTTTTGGGGGGGGGGGCGGTAGTCAAATGAAGAGTAAATTTTGACAAAGCTTCACTGAGCAAACCAACCCCTCCCCACCGCCCCACCCCCAGAAAGCTCCTGACCCTTGTAACAAACTACTGCAGTTAAGTATGAAAAGGTAGGGATGTTTCATGATCGGCCACTGCTGGAAGGTGCAACTAACTGCTGGGAACCCTTGACAGTTGTGCGTTACTTATATAAGCCCTGTTTCTTTCCTCTCTTCCCTCATCTGGGGCACCTACAGATACTTTAGCCCAAAACCACAGCAAGCACTGCTGCCTTTAAATGAATAAATCTGGATATCCCTTTGGTAGAAGGCAAACTGATCAGGAACTATATTTGTTTCCTTTGTGTATTCCTAATGCCTAGAGGAGAAATACCTGGAAGAGAGCAGGCCCTGAACATATACTTGTTGAGGTAAAGCAATAGTCACCACAGGCTGCTATATCCCATGAAGCACACCCCAAAGCCAGTCACCTGTAGAGCTTTGCATCAGATGGGTTTTATTCCACTTTTCATGCTTATACCCACTAAGTTGCATTACCCATCCTTGAATTTGAGAAGGGGGAAAATAGTCTTCCTAGTGACTCATTTTTACATGTGGAAAGAACAGAAAACTAGAGATGGGATGGAGGAGGCTGTCCCTCTAAATTCTGAAGGTCACCATAAAACAAGCTGAGACCCATTAACAATCAAGCTCAGTTGCACCAGCACGCCCAGGGGAAGAACACTTGTACTTTAGGGTGAGAAAACAGGAATCTGAGTCCCTCCCAAGCTCGAGGGCAGCAGGCAGGTTCATCAATCTCACCCAGCCTCCACTTCCCTGCCTGTGAAAGAGGGATGATGCTCAAAGGCCCATCACACCAAGACAGCAGAATTCAAGCTAGCCATATATCACTGCCTTGATAATACAAATAAATGTGTGGGCCCTGATGGGGTTCCTAAGGCATACATACACTACTCTATGTGAAAATTCTTTAAAAAACAACTTGCAATTATTACTTACATTAATTATGGGTATTTAGATATTAGGAAATAACACAACTGATCTAGGATCATATAGTTTTTCAGTATTCATTTTAAACAATTCACAATGAAAAACAGGAAGGACTAAGTGTCTATTCAAGTTCAATTTTTCAGCTATGCAAACAACATAGGATTAAATAAACAGGAGACTAAGTACTGACTCTACCCCACCCCACCTAAAAAAGATAAATGCAAACATAAAATGCGAAAAATCCCTAAAAAGTGAAAATGGAGAAGTATATTGGAACAAAAAGCAGATGTTGAGTTAGGACATTTCTTTCAGTTGATTTGAGGGTACTTTGAAACATCTTCCTGGCAAACCCCAGAACCCTCAGATATCAGCTAGATGCATGGAAGGTGCCCAATGCTTCAAGTTTCATAAATAGGTAGGGCAAGTGCATTTCTAAGCTTAAAAAAAAAATTGCAAATAATTCCTGAACTCTGAAAGAGTCTGGTTAGAAAAAGCTTCATGTTTACCTACAGAAGTATTCCACATTTCTCATTAAATGTGAATCCAAACACCTAATAATCTAAACATGCTCTAATAATGATGAATCAATATGGAAATCTGTAAAGCTTCAACATGTAAATAAAGCATCAAGCTCTGATCTACATAATATCAAAACACAAAGCAGCTAGATAGGTAGTAAAGAAGAGAATCAGATGATTTACAAGTCAGAGGTGACATTGAAGCATTGATTCTCACCAGATTCCTCCCTCAAATATTAAGCCACCTTACTTTATATTACTCAATACAACAGAGAGCGCTATCAGTCATTAGGATAATTTTCCAATAGTTTATAATTCTTATTCTCTGGGGCAAATGACTCCCTAATGAGAGCATGTAACAGATTCTCCCACTCTAAGTTTCTTACTTACCTCCTGTGCATCTCTTGCTGCCTTGGCATCATCCTCATTATAGCGGTTGCAGTTGTACCTAAAAGCAGAATAAAGGTTTAACAAAGCCACTCATCAAGCAAGAATAAATACTAAAGAAGTAATGGGCCATCTAGTCTGTAATCCTTTTCCAATCCATTTTGTTCCTACAACTCACCAGGCAGATCCATGTGGTTCCCAGGGACCAAGACACACCCAGCAAAACTCTGCTTTACAGTTCTGGTTACGACAGACCATGTGATTGCAACCTCCATCCTTTTCAATGGTTACATGGCATTTAGGGCACTCCTGTGAAGAAACCCCACCAAGTTTATTTCAGTATTTTCACTCTCACTAACACAGAAAAGCCACACCTGAATTTGACATGTGTGAAAAGGATTTTAAAAATAATAGCAATGCCGCACTAAAATATGGGCACTTAGGCAAATTATCCAGGACCTCCATCATTTACAAGTCCATGTTCTGCAAGCTCGGGCATGCTTTTTTTTTTCCTTCCCCAGTCTGAGGTGGGAGTCTGGGGCACTTCTGCTGAGAAAACATCCTTTACTACATGCAGACTGGAGCACCCCTCTCTCAAACTGATGTGGTCATATAAATGTTGTCTGCCACACATTCAAGAATCATTCACATAGAAAGCCTTTCTTATTCAGTATTTCAGTCAAGTTGTCTGATGCGCCTATGTTAGATGGTGGTCCAGGATAACTTGTATGGGAGCTCTTTTCATGCTGCCCATTTAAAATGCTTATTCCATTTAAAACCAGGTGAGGGGCCACCACATGACGATGGCCAAATCAATGTCCTTCTAAATAGTAAAGTACAAACTTCCACAAAAACATGTACACTGCTTATTCTAAACCTCTTGGGATTTTCCAGATGCACAAACTAAATTATGGAATATTAAAACTACACTAACTATATCACAAACACAAACATCTAAATGCTGAGGAGTAAAAGAGTACCACACCATGCCCAAATTCGTAAATCATGAAGAACACAAAATAAATAATCCAGCCACATCGACAAGGTTTGCTTCCCTTAATTCATTTCCAATCATCTTAGCAGCTGCTCTGCTCTATTCTTTGCCTTTTAATCTTTTCCAAAAGCCACAATAAATCCCAACCAGGCAAACTCAGGGCATCTCTTCAAATCAACACAAAGACAACCAAGTTGCAGTAGGGAAAGGATCCCTATTTCACACATTCATACAATGGAAATGATGTCAAGCCCCTCAGTGAGGAAATAATCCAAATTTAACAACAAAAACTTCAGAATAAACTATACATGAAAAATAAACTACATTTTCTATGGACTTATCAACAGAAGCAAAATAACTAACATTGTCAAATCACATATTTTCAAACTAAGTTTCCAAATTTTGTTCAGACATAAACAAATTAGATAAATTAAAGCTACTCATTATGAAGAGCTAAGTCAAATCAAATACAGACCTTTGTGTTGGCTGCAATCCAATTAGACGTTTCACTGTCATCATCACACTTTTTAATCCACTTCTTTAACCACTGTTTGGAAACAAAAATTATTAGTGTACAATAAAAGGTTTTGGGAGAAAAAATACTAAATACTTTTAAAGGCCTTTCTTTTCAGGAACCTTTTATTTTACACAAATTTGCCAGTATGTACAACTGATGGGGGTGGGTGGAAGAGATGGTATGGGTGGTGCAAGGTAGGTTTTGAAAAGATGAATACAGAAAGGACAAAAATTGGAACCCCAAATAGCATCACTGTGCAAATCCAGGAAACCAGAGAATTTGGGGTTTGTGTTTAGCAAGCACTATATACTAAAACATTTTCTAGAAATCGGATAACTAAACAAGGTATCAAGATTTCCACAGACAGAGAAAATGTGCTACTGTTTTGTAAATTTCAGAACTGAGCTCAAAATATTAGGCATGAAATCCTTTAATATATAAAAAATGTAGCAAATTTAAATCTTTTGGGGAGAATTTTGGTTTTATTATGCATAATACCTAGGCTTTTTTTTGGGGGGGGGTAAGGTAAGGAATGGTTTGAGATAATCGTACCAATCTAGAAAATTGACTGTGTACGGAATACCCTCTCCTTTCCTGTTGGTCCTTGGTTAAAAAGACATACATTTGCATATCACCAGTGAATCCTAAGTCCTCGGACTGGAAACCTATTTACTAAAGGATAAATATCTTTATTTAAATAAGCATCCTCCCCCCCCGCCCCGTTCTTGAAGCTTAACTTATATCTTCCTAAATGTACACTGTCTTGATAATTAATGTAAGTTTTTTTTGTTTTTTAAGGCAATTGGGGTTTAAGTGACTTGCCCAGGGTCACACAGCTAGTAAGTTCCAAGTGTTTGGTCTGAGGCCACATTTGAACTCAGGTCTTCCTGACTTCAGGGCCACTGTGCCACCTAGCTGCCCCTACTAATGTAAGATTTTAGCAATTGGATTTTTAATTCTTGTCGTGGTATACAGAAGGCTGCCCTCCAAATCTTCCATTACTTCCAAATTAAAAACACTACTACACCTGATTTTAGCCCAAGGGGCCTAGAAGTGATAATGAATGATTCATGAGTGAAGAAACCAAGGCCTTGATAACTAGCAGGTAACAAGCCTGAGAAGATTTCCGACAATTTCTAACTAGGTGTGCAGAAGTGTTATTTTATATAATGATTCTGATTTATTCCAAAAGCCTTCAATCTTATAGTTTGGAAAGTTAGGCTATTATTTTATTTTAATCTTCTAAACTAGCAACATTCCTCATTGGTGTATGCTTCACATATTGTCCTCTTAACATAGTAAGAGAGTCCTGCTACACATGAATGCATGATGGCAGTAATGAAGCCTCCTGGCAGAAGGATAAATACACTGGCAAAACTGACAATTGTCAATTGGAGTCATTCGAAAATGTTAAAAACAAATTATACCAGCAAACTCACCTTGCATTTAACAGGATCGTGCCAATTTTCCCCACAATTAAAGCTGTAAGTGACAGAAGGAGATAAAGACATAAATGCTGCATTCTTAAAAGTGAAAAAAATCAGATCTTATTTGCACAGTTATACTCTGTATTATTTGCTAGTTTTCCATCACTACAAGCATGGTCAGACAGTCAGAGTCCATTCGGAATCTGTGTAATTTTGGTCAATGGGGCTAAGCCTGGATTAATTCAAACCATTACTTTTCCAGGTAACTGTGAAATTTACTTCTTTAAGTTTTGGTAGTAAAGGAAAATTCAAGTGACATTAGCTATTGCACTACATGTAGCTCTCTCTAATTTAGGTTGAGACACCCTGTAAGCATTAATAGCTACTGTTGCATTTTATATCTATGTTATATAACGGGCTACAAACTGAAGAAGGGCACATCCTTATTATTCTAAAATTAACTTCCAATTACCTATTAACTTGCTTTTCATCCTGGAATTGTCAATAAAAATTCATTCACTAGAAGCTTCTGTCCTAAAAAAACCCCAGGTAACTGCCCTTGGAGCACATGGCTCTGCCCATGTGTGAATAAAGCAGCAAATTCCACAGACCCAAAGGCAAATACTTTGCTTAAATCAGGGGTGGGGAACCTGCCTCCCTCCTCAAGTGAGAGCAAATCCCCTTAACAAAAGGATTTGTTCTACAAAATTGGGACTTGGTCAAAAGGCTACACCTACAGACCTAGAAGGCCACTTGTGGCCTCCTAGATGGCAGGTTCTCCACCTCCAGCTTAAAAAACCATTTAAAATGCACCGACCTCTAGGCCCTGGCCCAGTTTTACCTTCTCCAAGGATATTCACTTCCTGCAAAATGTGACACTGGTTCTATGTGGTCAAAGAGAATATGGTGTACTACTGAATAGAGAGCTGAATGAGAGCGCTTGCTGGGGGCTTCTTAAAAGACTGTTCTTTTTGTGTTAGGGAAGACAGCGCTAGACAGGGAGTTAAGAACAACATGGGGAGAAGGGGAGGGAAAAGAATGCACAAATGATATAATAACTTCATAAGGGATACATGACCCGAACATATAAAACTTCACATAATAAAGGCATTACGAAAGAATGAGATCAAGCACCCTTTACAACTATGGTTAGCCAGAGAATGATAATTCTGATCACATGACACTGAAAAATAATTTCTGAATTAATAAAATTGATGCAGAAAAAAGAAGGGAAACATCTGAAATAACACAGACACGTAAACCTAAGAGACAACACTGAAGCGGTAAGGACTACAAGAATAAAACCTAGCTTCAATATATAGAGAACACTGAGGGCCAGCAAGGGCAAGCTCTTTGCCCCGGGGCATCTGAGGTAGGATTAGAACTCGGGCCTTTCTGATGGACTCCAAGTCTACTATACAACTGATCAAACGATACAAACAGTACTCAGAAGAATATCTGTGAAACTACTGTCTATCTGTAGAAAAGATTTCTCCAAACCAGAAAGACAAACACAACATTTACTGACTTATTTTTGGTTTTCACCATTTACTTCTATAGGATTGAGTTGTAAAATTTCTTCTCCCTATCCTCCCCAAAATGGCATGCAATCTAACATTGGCTATAGTAGGAGAAACAGAAATCAAATACTGAAGCTGTCCCTCATAGCCAGCCTATTGGCAAAGATGACAAATGATGGGAAATTTTACTCTTGGAGGGAATGCAGGAAGACAGGCATAACATTACACTACAGGTGGAAATGTGAATTGGTCCAAACATTCAGCAAATAAGCTGGAAATACACTAAAAATGTGACTGAAATGTTCATACTCTGACCCAGAGTTCACAAGCATTCTCTGAGCATTCAATCAACAAGCATTTATTAAGTGCCACTCTGTAACCAAGCACTAGGAGAAGTGATGGGGACAAAAATAAAAAGCAAGGAGCTTACATTCCAATGGGAGTAAAAACATAAGGGCTTTCTATCATTACAGGATATGACCTTGAAGATAATAAAGATTCACTAGAATTTACTGAGAAGGAAGGAGGTGGAAATAATCAGATATGAATTTGGTAACTTTTGGAGAACAGACTGGAGTTGGGGGAAGCCTTGGGCCAGGGAGAACAGCCAGTAAACTACTGCAATCTCCTGGGAAATGAGCAATGATAAGGGCCTTAGCAAAGGATAGGAAGGGGTAGAAAGGAGTGGTAGACAAAGATACGACGAGATTTAGGCACTGCCTGGTTATGTGCAGTCGGAGAAGCTACTGAGGTTGACACCAAGACTGTGAACCTAAGTGCCTGGAAGGATGGTTGAAATCCAGAAGGGAAGGCTTGAGGGAAACATAATGAGCCTGTTTTGACTTTATTTTGGAATGCCAAGTTTGAGATGTCTATGAGACTTCTAGTTGAAATACACAACAAGCAATTGGTGATGGGGGACTGGAGGTCAGAAGAGAGACTAGGGCTGAACAAATAGACCTAGAAGTCATCTGCACACAGAAAACTGAAATCATAGGAATTGATCAGAAAGGCCAAATATTAAGCAAAGTATTCACAACAATATTTTACTATGGATGCAAAGCACTAGAAACTAAGTAGGTACCCAGTGATGAGAGCATAGCTAAATAAACTGTGGAATGTGAATGGAACGAAATATTACCACTCTGTAAGAAATGAAGAACAACCAATACAACAATGTAAATGAAAAAAAACAACCCCAAAACAGAAAACTCAATGTTGTGAAATTTTGATGACCAGGCTTGGCTTCAGAGAAGGGGAAAGGTGAACTACCACTGCTTTCCTCGCAGAGATGGGAAGACTATAGGCCTAAGACAGACCATGTGAGGAGGCTGACACACTATACCTGGGGCTCAAGGCTTTACCAGTTAATAGCCAGACATATGACCTCGGGTAACTTCCTAAGCAATCCGGGTTCCAGTTTCCTCTCAATGGTAAGATGGGAAACCACTGACTTGATCAGAAAGGGTAATATGGCAGAAAGAGTGTTGACCGTAAGGCCAGGAGAGCTGTCTGTGATCATATGTAAGCAAGTCATGGGCCTTACCGTCCATCTACATACTATAAAACAGAGATAATACTTTCACATAAACTACCTCTGAATTATTATATGAAGAGCGCTTAAAATTAGGCAGACCTATACAAACTAGCGGCATTAGGAGGTTGGTCTGTGGGTACATCTTTTTCTGTGGACCCCTTTGGACCTTTGCCTTATCACCTGCATGTCTGTGTTCTTCCCTAGTTCAGTTCTATTGCGCAGAATATCGCCTACTAAACAAAAATACCGCTAACATTTAGTTTGTACAAAGCAATGTGCTCCCAAAATACATAAATGGGAAAAAGATTCAAATTCAACATGAAACTTTTCCACCAATTCTTGCTTGGTGAATACATATTGAAAAAGAGCATGTGAACCTACAACCAAGACCACAAAGCTACCTCTATGACCTAATAATTTAAGGAAAGCTACTCTTTCAACTCCTTACCAAAACTGGCGCCCACATTTGCAGCGAACAGGTTTAGCATCAGGATACTGGACTTTAACGACATGGTGACAGTCTGGGGCAGGACACCACTTCAACAGTCGATTGCACTGGGGGGAAAAACAAGTGGGAAAATAAGAAAGGAGAACAAATACAGCTCCAAAGGCAAGCTCTTATGTATGAATATACCAAGAACATACTGACTTATTGTGCACTGAGCTTCACTTTCATAAAACCATGCTGAAAATTCTTGGTTAAGCCTTAATGGTTTTCTTTGCCTATTCTTGAGCGGGCCACATTTAGTTCAAAATACTATTCAATTTATAGTAGTAGAGACAGTCTGAACAGAGTCAACAACCCTCACAAAGGGAGTGCTTGACAGAAAATTACTCAATTTAGGAACGAATGTTCTTTATGAAATGATCACTAGTGTATGGCCTCCACTGGCTCTTGGCCTATTTTGTAAATTGTTAGATGACTATATTTTTGCACTATTTATAAGCACTTATCACTGAGCAAAAATCCATTTATGACTATTTTCAAATGTGATTTCTTTAATGGGAAATGAAACTCATGTTCTTTCTCTGCTCAGGGAAGATTATTAGTTACTACAAAGCAGTCTAAACGAATCTGCTCAGAAGCACTTAGCTCTAAGATATCTTTAGGAATTCAAACAAAATAAAGACTTTTGTAGGGAGAGTGACTAAGATATTGAGAAATTCTCTAAATAAATAGTCAAAGGATGTCATTAATTAGCTCTCAAGCAAAGAAATGCAAGATCTCTTCAACCATATTTAAAAAATGCTCCACATAACTAATAATTAGAGAATTACAAGTTTAAAACAACTCAGAAGAACAATACCTCACACCCATCCAACTGGCAAATTTGATAGTTGAGGAAAATGGCAAATGTCAGAGAGGAAAACGGGGGGGGGGGGGCTAGGAAAACTTCGGCACAGTTGTGCACTGCTGGTGTGAACTATGCCAACCATTCTGAAAAGCAATTTAGAGGATGCACCAGAGGGTACTAAACTGTGTAAACCTTCTTACCCAGCTTCATAACAGTAGTAGGTCTGTCTCCCAAAGAGATAAAAGAAAAAGTGTCTGTATATACAAAAACATTTATAGCAGCACTTTTTGTAGTAATCAAAAACTGGAAATTAAGAGGGATAGGTATACGCCCATCTACTGGCAAATGGCTAAATAGTGTAATATAAGAAATGACATAAGACATTTCAGAAGAAACTAAGAAAATTTCTATGAATTTATATATAGTGTGAAGTGAGAACTAGAACAATTTATTCAATGACAACATAATAGGAAAAAATCTAAAAGACTCCAGAACATCAATAAAAAACACAATAACAAATCCAGAGGACTCAAGATGAAACATGACACCCATCTCCTGCCAGAGGAGTAAGGGACTTAAAATGAAGAACGAGACATATTTTTTTGTCATGAACAGTGGAAATTTATTTTGCTGTATTATGCGTATTTGCTAGGAAAGTGATTTTTCATTTTTAAAAAGCTGTTCAACTGGGTGAAGGGACAGTAGAAAAAATGTTTTTGAAAATAAATTTTTAAAAAAGAAAAAAGACATTGAGATTACTCTGAATGTTGATATGCTTTTTTGTAATTATGCATCTCCACTGACGTATGACTTTGTATAGACTGAAAATGTGCTATTATGCAATTTAAAAAGGCATATTGCTCATTTGATTTATTAATAAAATACTGAGTTAGTTCTATCTTACTTTTGGCAAAACAGTTTAACAACTTTAAAAATTGATGGCCAAAGACCAAATTCTCAAGAGACACACCTATTTTGAAAAAAGACTGGTTTCCAGTTTTTCAAAAGAGCTATTTAAATATAATTATTAGCCTCCAAAGCAAATCTACAATTCAATTACTCTAATAGAGATTTCTTGCTGATGGTAATAATAAGAAAAAAAAATCCCAAAACGTTAAAACAACAACAATGAATTTTCAGGAGAAAACCACTCACCTCTACAAAACTATTAGTTATTAAATGCTGGTACTTTAATTTAACTTTTGAATCTGTGATCAGACGCCTATCAGGAAAGAAAAGAAGCAAAAACAGTTTACTGGGAGGTTTGCCTAGAATGTATTACATTAATAATTATAAAACATTGTTTCATAATTGCTAATCTCTGCTTTTGGCTACAAACTGACAAGTGGGGAGATGGGCTGTAAGTACTGACATTAGTATGCTTGCCATGACCCAACTTAATTAATTCTACCAATCAAAGCAGTTTATCAACATCATTTCTATGAAATCAAGAATTTAAATATAACTTTGGCAAGGTCTACTACAAATTTTAAATTGATGCCCACCCCAGAGCTACAACAAGGCTAAATTATCTGGAATCCAAAATGTATAATCAATTTGTTCTGTTCATTTCATGGCTTTATCTTTCTTCTTATTATATAGATTTTACAATAGGATAATTATTTGGGAAGTTTTTTTTTTAAGGATTTATATGTTATCCACAAAATGATGACACAAATCATAAGCAATACAAAATGGAATATTTAAGGATAAAAACAATTAAAAGGGGGATGTAAAAGAAACAGGAAATAGAGCCTAACTAGTTTTCAGGTAAGCTAATTACATACAACTGAATTGCAAATTTGATTCTAAATCACCTGGTAATCTAAGGCCAAAGGGGAAATATACAACATAGCTTTTCTGTTCATAAAGAAGCATAAGAAATTCATCTTGTTGAGAAATTTATCTGTAACTAAACACAAGCAGGTTTTACCCAAATTAGAAGGGCACCTCTTGCAATAACAAAGTCCCAACCTCATACTAAGACAGGGTCTAAAACAGAGCTAGTCCAACTCCTCAATATTTTACAACATCAACTATCTTGACTCATTCTCTCCTATTACATTTTCATATATCACTATTCTTATTTTCTTCCCTTAAATCTCCAAATACTCCCTGGCCTTCATTCCATTCACAGAAGATGGGACACAAGGTAGATTGCTCAATGTCTGTTTGCCAACACCCTCAGAATTCGTCACTTTCTTTACTCTTCTTTGCTCATCTCCTTTTCAGGAGAAGAGACTGTCCTGACTCTGCCGAAGCTAATTTTCCTGTGTCATCCAAAAAACTGATCCAATCATTTTGGATTATATTCCTTTAATCTCTCCGTTTACACTGCCTTATTAACAGTCAGGCCTAAACTACTCCAGGAAGCCTAAAATCAATGCCCTACTTCCTCAACACCTACTTATGCCTTCACAATCTGGCTTGTCACCCCCACCATTCAAGTGAAATAGCTAAAAACAATGATCTTTTCATATAAAGATCATCTTTCCTCATTTCTCCTTCCTTTGAATCTAGTTTTATGCCTCTATTCCCATAACTTGCCTTCCTGGTTCTTCTTTCCAACATCTTGTTACGTGAGCCCAGCATGGCTAAGAGCAGGATAGAAGTGCCCAAGGCCCCTATGTTATCATCATACACTAGATGATCACGCCATTCACCAATCTCTCAGTCTATTAACCAGTGAATATAGTTCAAACTGCGGAGGCAGTCATGGATAAAGAGCTGCGCCTGAAGTCAGGATGAGCTAGAATTTCAAATCTATTTCTCTGATACCAACTGTAGGATCCTGGGCAAATAATTTCAGTTTTTGTCCCTTTGCTAACTCCCTGGAAACCTACTAAATCACAGGCCAGCTGTGGACCTGTGTTGGCAGGAGGAGTTCCTGTCCCACAAACTCCTTACAGACAGATTCACCACAGATCTTTCTTGTCTAGCACTTGGTATCCTTTGTAGAAGTCTTGTGTTTTCTTCCCCAGGTTTATGCTATTACTTAGTGTATCACAAATCTCTACCTGATGAAATCCCACAGAATCCTTCAAGTTCAAATGCCACGTCCTTCACCGAGCCTTTCCTGAAATAACTCTTTCTTCTTAAACAGCACTTGGTCACCTTCCTGTGTAAGTCTGTGGGCAATGCTCTGTTAGTACAGCTTGCTCCATGATAAGAGGGCTTGGATCTCCAATAATTTCTGTGTCTCCCCAGAGCTTCAGACACACTCAGTATAAAACACCTTAAAGTTCATAACTGATCCAGGCCCTCTCCTATACTGCTATAACTAGTCTGAGACAAAGAGAATATTTGGTCACATGATCCAATCAACTACCCTCTGCTGAAATAAGTGGGGTATGTAAGTAGTGAAACTGCATTATCACTGAATTTATGCTTTGAAAGTGTGTATTAGCTGAAAAATATCAGTAAGGTTTCCCTATGCCAGCCTACGTGCTGCCATTAACTTTCTGCCAACGGCACATCCTGATGTCGTTTTACACCTCAATTTAGCACCAGTCCAGGACATAAACTTGTAACATCTTTTGGCTCATCTCCTGAAAATCTCTCAGACACAGGGCAAGCCTTTCTTGGAAGCCATTACTTTGGTGCTTTATTTCTAAGCCGAAATACTGCACAGAACTGCATTTGAGACGGTTATTTCACTGTGTGACAAAATGACCAAAACATCTCCTACACACTCTGGATGTTCGATCAAAACCACTTACACGGAACTGACAAGACTAAAATCTGTAAGCAAGAGGAGCTGAGCCCATTTTTGGAACTGTGAATCAACATATTTAGTTATAAGAGGTGACTTAGGAAGCAACTTAACTTCAGTTAGAAGCAGTCCAGTAGATCCTGTCACTATTAAAGGATCAAATCAATAAGGTCAATAATTAGTGGCTGGAAAGGAAAATGACTCTCATACAATGAGACCCAGGCATAGATATTTTTCTTTCACCCTCCCCTACCCTTCTTCACTTGGACCACACAGATCCTAACTCTTCCATCATGTCAGGATACAACATTTTAGATATCTCCATTATCTGGGGGAAAAAAAAGGATAGCAAGGACAATTGGTGAGTAGATTTTTTTTTGGGGGGGGGCATAGTATTAGAAAGATGACTGCAGGAGTTTCATGACGGCTGTGGCAATCAAGGATTCAGCACGCTGAGCTCATTTATTCAGAACGCTAATTCTCTATGCAGGTTAAAGGCCCAGAGAGAACACAAACAGATTACCTCAATCTCACTGGAAAGCCTTGAATGATTTTTACAAATGTAGTTTCTAATTCTCCTTCAAACTAAAAAAAATGACCTCTTCTTCATCCCATCATTCATACAACTTAATTCACCTGCAGTAGAAGGTTACTCTATCAAGAGGGTTCTTTCAAAGTCTGACCAATGGTCAGCCTGCTCTTCAGAACTAAGGCACAAGGTCCTTATTAGTTATGACTCTGAATCTACTAGTGTCCTATTATGTAAGCATGGGAGATGTGTATAGCTATTTTTATCCTGGATAAATAAAACCCTTATCTCTAAATCTAATTGCAGCCTACAATTTTAAAATTCTTCCCCAAACATTTTTTTAATACAAAAATTGAAAGTAGTTGTCTCATTTTACTTCCCTTCCCATTCATTAATTGGTGGACAGCTAACAACCAGATCAACATCAAGTGGAAAAAACAAGTTAAAGGCAAAGCTGAGCCACTAAAGATCAACCTAGTTGTCTTTAGACAATTATTAAAGTAGCCTTCTTCATGAACTAAGAGTCGAGGCATTTATTGTAAGCAACAATAACAGCAACAAAAAGACATTCTCTTTCACATATCATTTTCCCCCAAACATGCCCATGTCCAGAGATGGTAAAAGGGGCAAGAAGAAAGTTTTCCTTCAAAAATCCCAGAGTTCTGCCTGATTTTTAACATTTGCCAAGAATATGTGATCTTAGAAAACAAAGATACAGAAAGAAGTCCGAGCTTTGTATATAAAAAAGCTGGGGAAAAAATGTAAAACTGTACATAATTTAGAAGTTTTACAATAACACGAGCATTGATGCATTTGCTTAAAAGCTTGATTCCTTTAAATAGAAAATTTCTCTAAGCACATTCAAAATAATTTGATATTAAAAATTTATGTGACTCTTCTGCAACTCTATCAATTCAAATGCATATCTACATGTCGAACTAAAACTAAGATATGTTATCCAAGCCCATTTAGGTAATGTGACAGCTGACCTGGGTTCTAGGCAGGCTTTCTCATCAACTAGCTATGTTACCCTAAAGCAAGTCACTTCACCATTCTGTGTTTGTTTCCTTAAATGTGAAATGAAGAAGGCTGAATTAGATACTTTCAAATCTCTGAACACTTATTCAAATCCTAATATAGGTGGTCCACAGTCAATATATTCCTTGAATGAATATCCTATTTTCTATGAGGATAGAGGAAGAATTTTAATGGATGACTAAGGCAGCTACTTGGTAAGCAAGATATTTCAAGTTTTTGTGACTGGTAACAAAGTTAATGTTTTCTAGAACAAGAACTGAATGCTACCCATCCCATTTGAGTATATGTAGTCTTTCAGATTCTGGAAGGACTAATGCTACTGCAATGTACCTCTAGCCTTAGAAGAAATGTAAGCAAAGACAAGGGTTAGTGCAGAATACTTGTGGCAGTGTACAAGATGGAACTGATCCCCATAAGGCCTGCAGAAGACGTTTTTCATGAGGGGCATGAGAAGGACCAACTTCTTCTAGGAGGCAACTTGGCAAACCAGAAAAGATTACATGCTGGATTTGGAACTGTAAGACCCATGTTCACATCTTGATGCTGCTACTTCCTCCTTCTAAGGTAATGGACAGGTTACTTTAAAAAGCTCTAGGGCTTGGTTTACTCATTTGTAAAAGGAAAAAGTTGAACTAGATAAGAACTAGTAAGCTTTCTGGGGGCAGGCAGGGATAGTTATTTTTCATCTTTTCATCCCCAGTGCTTGGCAATTATTTTGTACTAAGTAGATGCTTAATGTATGCCGAATTGAATTTAAGCATCTAAAGGGCTGTCTGGGATAAAAGAAATTGCGGCTTGTGCTGAACGGCCCTCCATCATGATAAAGGAAAAAAGTCCCAAAGGACTTGGGTTCAAATCCCCACTCCTCTCACTAATCCCTAGGTGAAGTCATGTAACTTGAGTTTGATGATTTGGTGGAGAGGGGGGGACTGAGAGCCTCTAAGGCCCCTTCCAGCTCTGTATCTATTATTTTATGAACTAGGATTAATAGACAGAAGTTTCAAAAGAGCAGATCATAGTTCAATGTACCAAAAGAATTTCCTAATTACAGCCATCCAAAAACGTAATGTTCTGTCTACATAGGAAGTGAGCTCCCCATCACTAGGAATTTATATTCAGAAAATAGATGACCATTCACAAGGGCTATTTACTGATGTGATTCTTCCTTACATATGGCTTACACACATCCTATGTGTTGAGAAAGAATGGGGAACAAGAAAAATGGAAAATCTTAAGAGTAAACTTTAGTTAATTGTTTACTGGTCTATAAGTCTGTTGAAACTAACAGCTAAAATGATATTTGTGAAATCCACATACCCAAGGTTTCCCCTCTCTCCATTAGCATGGGGGAGTAATAAAAAGGTGCTTATCACAATCCATAGTTTGCCTGAACACTGACTGGGTATTTACTACAAGAAGTGCTTCAAGTAGTAAATGCAAAGTCTTTGGCCCACACCACTAGAAAGGAATTAAGAAAGTGTTAATATTTTTACATTTAAAATTCGCAACTACACAATGCTCTGAGAAAGCCAATTTAGTCTAGTGTCTGAACAAATAAGAAAACACACCGGAATCCACCCTTAGTACTTACATAACTGTGCTGTCATCCACTAAGATATCACAACCATGAGCAGGACATGAGATAGTCTGAAAAAGAGTGAATCACACACATTCTAAATCCATCTTCCCATTTATATGCTCTGGATTCTTCTAATTCACAACACAGAGTATAAAGTAAAAAGGTTCAATATTTTCGCTCACTTGTCTGTATTATCTGGCATGCCCAAACCCTAAGTACAGTATTAATACCAGTAGCAGGTACAAAAATTTAATTTCTATCTCCTGCTTTATGGGAGTGCTCAACAGGGAAGAAGAGATAAAAGGTCAATTTGCTGAACAAACTCAAATTTTGAGGATCACACGGAAAACAGAAGGCAGCATACAGAACTGTCAAAGAAGAAAGTCCCCTCAGGTCAGCCCCCCTCATATTTTAAAGCTATTTCTTCAGGGGGTTTGTTTATAACAATTGGGAATCATGTCCTGGGAAAATCAAAAAGTTACTAAACTATTAAGTTTCAAAATATAAACCAGATTTTCTTTACCTGTCCCATGCCTTCCTCCATTATTTTGGTAGTTAAATATTCGCTCCAGCACTGCATACAGAACTTATGTCCACATTCAAGGCCAGTGAAATACTGCAGCAAAAATAAATGGGTTTTAGCTATGACTTACTTGAAATCTCGACAGAATATGCCTTGAGATAAGGCAGTAATATTAAATTACATTACATGTTCCTTATAGGGCCTGTACTGTTCAGTGCAGAATTAAAGGGCCAAACCCACAAACTTCTGGTGAGGAGGGGAGACTCTAGACAGACAAACACATCTGGTCACACCAATTCACCTGAGTTTCACATAAATAAAAAATCAATGTGTGCGCACGCACGCGTGCATGTGTGTGTGTACATATATGTATGTGTCTATATGAATTGAAGAAAAGGAAAAACAGCATTCTTTCGGCCTCAACAAAGGTACTTGAAAAGGAGACCTAACCTAAAACCCAGAAGCAAAACCTAAAAACCTTTAAGTCAAAGATATATGTGAAATGAAAAAAAGATTAGCCACCCCATTTGATGTCTACTAAGTATCTGGCCTTGTTAAGTTATCAAGTAGTATGGTAAATGAAGACCAATGCAAGAAACAACGGTAATTTAAAACTACTTCAAAAACATGTTGTGGTTAAAGTTCCAACTTCAGGTTAATGTCAAAATGAAAATCTGGTTAATGATAAATCTTCTAAAAAACAAGGAAAGGTTTGCCTGCTGAGTATTATCTCATACAGGTAAAATGTTGATCTAAACTGCTGATCTTTCTTAATGTTTATGGAGAGACAATACGAGATCTTGGTTTTTCTTCCACAATTGAGCATGATATCTCTGTAATAATGCTCACATTTAAGTAAGCACATTAAGGTTTTCAAAGAGTGTTGTTTCTCACAACCATCCTGTGAGGGACACAGCATGGTATGGATAATATTAGTGATTATTTTGTCTCTTTTGCTTTCTTCTGTTGCAGGGAAAGCTGTATCATCTTCTGACATTCAGAAACAAAAAAAAAATGCACTGAAATTTTGAGCGCTGGTACCGATGTTGGACCGACTTCTTATGATAACAAATAATATATCTGAGGGCAACAGCAAAAAAAAAAAGCCCCCAAAACAAAACAAACTGAATAAAAGGTATCTGGAAAAATCAATCTGTCTCATAAAATAATGTGTGTGTGTGGGGTGGGGGGGTGGAGAGTGAAGAAGACAAAGAAAAAAAACAGCTTTTATAAATTTACACATACTTCTAGTTATATATCAGTATACTATCAAAGTATTTGGTCCTGATTACCCCCAACACAGGGGGGCTTATCTCCAAGGTACCTATGGAAAAGTATTCCCGATTCAATTTTTGTAGGTTACTTTACGAATTGCAATGGGAACAACAGAAAACTTCTCACCTCGATGATCTCTAAAACATCTTTTTTTTGCCGTGTTTCACAGTACTAACAATGATCCTGTATTATCCTCATATAACCATTCTATAATTTTCAAAGCCTTTCATATTATTTTACTTGATCCACAAATCAACCTTACTGTGAGGCATGGTATTATACAACTCTACTTTATTTCAGCAAAATGAAGCTTGAAAGGTTAAGTGTTTCCACCCAAGATGTTATTAGTAAACAGAACTGTGGGTAATAATCCATAAAGTTGTGATCATACACAAGGTTCTTCTATTGACTAAATGTTCTCATCACAGAAATGTCTCTTATTAAAATAAAAAAGTTCCATTGATTACCAACATTTAAAATGCTGCTGTTTTTTTCTTTCTGTGGGAGGAACATAGATCTGGGATGTCACTGGTCCTCTTTCACTGTGTAGCAGCAAATGCTTAGCACAATGCCTGGCACCCAGAATGCCCTTAAGCAACTGTGTATGGCCTGATGCCTGGTGAATCCTACTTGTGTTACCTCTGTGCTGGGACAGGGCTGGGTCCTTTCCGCATCATCTTTGGAAGCCTGGTCTTTCCCTTTGTTCCTCCTTGCCTCCAACACTTCTACACCTGGCGCTTGTATACAGTCTAATCTCAGGCTTCCATAACCTTTTGTATCATGTCAATAGCTCAGTTCCTGTTTATCATTTCTGTCACTAACTAGGCTCTATCTGTACTACAGATTGGTCAGATCAAGCAAGGATAGGCAAATCCCAAATAGGGAAGCCCATAAGTTCTCACAAAGGAATATAAGCACAAAGGGACTGTTAAGACAAAACATCAAAATCTTAAAAAGGTTTCATATACAAGCTCTTACCTAAGCCTCCTAGAGGGAAAAAACAATCATTAAATGGGATCACTCTTTCTACATGCTGGGAAGAAAAAGACCATAGGATGGTTTTAGTATGACGTATTTTGTTTCTAAAAAATGAAGCCGCATCTGCCAAGTAAAGCAATTCCTCTCCCCTAGCTGTAGAAACATATTCAGTTTTATGCGGTTTTCTGTAATATGGACAGACTTAAAACCAACAACAACAAAAACGCCTCTAGAATGTGGCAACATGAGTTAGATGAAACATGTACGCAGATTCTTTTCCAATTAAAAGTCACCTGTGACTTGGCAAGGATTGAAGGTTTCACAAATAGGATATTAGCCAGTTTTTAAAAAAAAGTTTCAAGTTCACAGTAGAAGGCTATCAATTGCTTAAATGGGTTCTCACCTAGATACTTTAATGTCTTATAGATGCTTTAATAATTTTAAAAAGGATACTATGGTATGGATTAAAAAACCAAACTGATCTCTCAAGAATTTGTACAGATAATAGCCCTAACTTAAAAGATGGCTATACTAGGAGACAAGAAGTATTATTCTAAAATTACTATTTCCATGAATTTGTGGAATTGACTCAAACACTACTCCTGGGTTGTAATGTAGATGAGAAAGGGTTAAACAAGACAGGCTCCTGTTTTTTTTTATTTCCAGTATCATACTGGAAGGGATTTTTAAAAGAGCCACACCTGTATAACAGTTTAAGGCTTTCACATATGTACAAAAGCCATAAAATGTTTGAAAACAAAAATAATACACAGGCATATGCTGAAAAAAAAAATGCACTAATTATAGACATACTGAGGTATTCCCCCTGCCAAGCCAAACTGAGGAGAGAAAGCAAAGTTTTTAAGTCTACTAACTTTAATAAACTCCCTTGAGTCCACAGTATAAAGAATTCTGTCTGGGTCAGTATAACATGATGGGTTCCGACAGAATTCTAAAGCTGATGTGATTTTTAAAAAGGGCATGGCTTTTGAATGGCTTTAAAGTCTTAAAATATCTGGGTTTATTCCTTCCTTACTTTGACAATGCCAATTTTTACATGGGTTAAGAACTATGAAGTATGGAAATAGTAAATATGACCAAACTGTGCTGGACAAAATAATCAGGACATTAAGTTAATTTCTTTAAATGTGGCTAACTCAATAAACAAATTTTATAAACTAATATGCACAATAAAAGTAATTTTACATATATGAGAAGAGACTAGGCAGAGGTTTTCTGCATGTTTAAGTATTTTAAGGATTCATACTTTTACTAAGAGAAACACTAGTCACTGATACAGACTCACAAATCCTCTAAAACTTACTAAGTGGTTTTTTAAAACAAATTATCGCTGGTGAAAAAGATCCCACGTCTTTTGGATAAGCTTCTCCTTACTTTGTCCCTGGTCCCTAACTTGAAGCCTTTTTAGCTCAGCAAATCTAGTCTGAGCTCATTTCTGCAGGCATCAGCCTAAGATCTACTTCAGGCCACAACAGTATCAATCTTAACACACTTAAAGACATTATTTTATGGGGCAGCTAGGTGGCGCAGTGGATAGAGTACCAGCCCTGAGGTCAGGAAGACCTGAGTTCAAATCCAGCCTCAAAACCAAACACTTGACACTAGCTGCGTGACCCTGGGCAAGTCACTTAACCCCAATTGCCCCCCCAATTTTATTTGTATTTTGTGACCCAAACCAGATTCTTCTCTGCATCATTTTCTAACTGCAAATGGGACTTACAGCCCACTGTTACTTCCAATAAGTTTTGTTTTATATACTTTTCCCTATTGAAAGTGTTGCACTAAATGACCTCAAAGGTCCTTTCTACCTCTAAATCTATTATTCTACAAACAGATTAATATTCTACTGTGATTCTATTTCAATGCTACTATAGGGAACACAAATAAAATTAGAAGACAATGAAAATTATTTTTAAAAAGAACATGTAACTTGACTAAGAAATCCCAACAGAAGAGAACTGTGTTGTTATTGTTGTTGCTGTGTTGGGGTGGGGGGAGAGAATGAGAGATGACACAATATTTATAGGGATAAAGGATTGCAATGACAAATTCATCTGTTCATCTTATTCTTACTTTAAATTGGATCAGTAACACATTACCAACCAAATAAGACCACAGTTTTAGAGCTAGAATAACTGAAGGGTGCCTAGTTCAATCTTCTCATTTTACAGGGGGGAAACTGAGGCCCAGAGAAGTTATGTGACTGGCTCAAGACTACATAGGAGGTAGTAGAGCCTGGACCTAAACGCTGGTCCTCAGGCTCCAAATCCAGTGCTCTCTGCACCACACCTATGTCTATATCAAAGGAGCTTCCAAGTCAGGAGGTTTTAAGACTGTGGACCTCTACTTACTTATCAGAAGATTTACAAGAAAGATCATTATTTTAAGTAAAACCAATATTCCCAAGCCTTTTTTCCCCCCTGTGCATATTATACTTAGGATTCTTTTATCTTTAAGGACTGTTTCAGTTCTTAACATGTGGTTCTATAGAGTGATTTCTGTAATTAGGAAAAAACCTTTTCAAATGGCGAATCTCAGCAATCTCCTTACTGGCCTGGTATTAAAGGGATTTTGTGTGTATTCAAGAATAAGCCATTCAAGCTATTCTAGTTCATGGGCAAGGAAGAGTGTGCTCTGCCTATCAGGGAGTTCCTCCTGCTAGACATAGGAGGAGCAGCTTGTAGCAGCTTGCTCAGTGACAGTCACATCAGGCTAAGCTGTGCCTGGCTTCATGGCCGGCTGCTCTTCTCAGACACAGTGCTGCACAAGCTCCCTGGGCCAGTGCTCCCAACTCAACTAAGCAAATACTCACTGAGTTAGGGTAGTTCAAGTAGCAGATCTGACAAGGCATGTCCTGGGCTGATGACCGTGTGTTCATCTGGCGAGTTCGAGACTTTTTACTCGGATTAATTACGTGACACTCAGCAAAGAGCTTCTCCAGGTTCCCATCGAAGTACCTGCATTATTCAAACAGAAGGGATGAGAGTCTGGCAAAATCACCCAGTGAGAACTTCCCCAAACCCAAGATCACAGGCAGGGACGAACATGCAAAATTTAAAACAGACCTAAAACATCACACTGGTAATGAATGCCCAGAATAAGTGTTCACACACCAACCTGGAACACAATATACAAGCTTTTTGGAACATAGGTCACTACAACCTTATTAAAATAAACCTAGAAGGACAACAAAGGACACCTATCACATAGTTGCCTTTAGAAAACTGTACTGACAAACCACAAATTTGTTAAATTCACTGCAATTATGATACTCTCTCACAGGCTGACTCAAATCATTAAATTACAAATCAAATCATAATACTACAGATGTGATTCTGAAGAAGTGGAATTCAGCAACTTTAGACATACTTGTGTAAAGTAGTCCACATTTATTTCAATGATACCCATGAATAATGTTCTTCAGGTTTCATATAATGAATAATCAACCTCTGATGCTTAAATAGATTTTCCTAAAAGCACATTTGAAATTAGTCGTTAATTCATGCACAGTATAAATTATATTTTGGAAAAAAAAACTTTAAAAAGATTTTATCTTCAGCAAAAATTCTGGAAACTATTGATTGATTACAAACTGTATAGTACCGGGAAGAGAATAAGCATTTTTAAAGGGCCTACTATGTGCTAGGTACTATGCTAAGCGTATTATTACTATTATCCCATTAGATTGTGTCCACGATTCTGGGTGTGGAGAAGGTGATCCAAAGATCAATGAGAAAATGACACACACTGGGTCTAAGTAGGTAGGATACTATACATAAACAATGAAAACTTGATAAAGTGAAAAATGCATCAAGACAGACATCTGAAAGGAAAAACAGGTAGGTTAAATATTGAGACTGAGTAAAAACAGATGGGAAGCGCCAAGTACAACACTATTACTCCCCCCCCCCCGCCCAAGACGTTAAAAGACAAAGATGAAGGTCACCAAAGGGTTAGATGGATCTCTTATGGAGAATCTCTAGAAAAGAATCATGCAGCACATGTAAGGAGTAAAGGGAAGGCAAGCTACAGCAAAGCCTGATGTCCACCAACAACTATGTTGTAGGATTCTTTAGGGCTGAAAACTGCCCATCGCTGTTACCCTCACTCAGCAAGTCATGTTGCCCTTCTTGGCATTAGGTGCTTCATCTGTAAAATGGGGCTGGACTGGAGGACTTCCCCCCTCCCTTTTTGAGTCAATTGGGGTTAAGTGACTTGTCCAGGGTCACACAGCTAGTAAGTGTCCAGTGTCTGACCTGAGGCTGGATTTGAACTCAGGTCCTCCTGACTCCGGGCCCAATGGTCTATCCACTGCACCCCCCAGCTGCCCCTGGAGGACTTTTAAGGTGCTTTCCATTCGGAATTCTATGAGCCCTTATAGTCCTTGTGCTGCCTAATAACGTAATTACAATGTCTTATAATGTAAGGATCAAGAATATTCATTTTTATTCACAACATGACTATTAGGAAGTGTTTTGCATGACTACACATGTATAACCTATATTGAATTACTTGCCTTCTCAATGAGGGTGGGTGGGGGAGGCAGGAAGGACGAGAATTTGAACTCAAAGTTTTTTTAAAAAAACATTAAAACTTGGTTTTTATGCGTGACTGGGAAATAAGATACAGAGGCAATGAGGTATAGAAATCTATCTAACCCTACAGGAAAATAGAAAGAGATAAAAAAAGGGGGGGAGGGGGTGTGACAGAAGGGAAGGCATATTCGGGGAAAGGGTAATCAGAATGCACATGGTCATGGGGTAGGAGGAGGGGAGAGATGAAGAGAAAATCTGGAACTCCAAATCCTGTGGAAGTGAATGTTGAAAACTAAAAATAATTTTTTTAAAAAAGAATGCTCATTTTTAGAGTAAAACATTTAATCAAAATTGAATGAATAAAAGCACCCCCCCTACAAAAAACCCCCAAAAGTCACAACCCTCACATATATCTCTACCTGTTCTATTTCTTCAAATGGCCTTCCTTGGGGCCAAATTTCTAATTTCTCATCTCCCTCCACTCTAAAAATACTAAAGGCCCCAAAACAGATGTAATTCTTTAAGTCATAACCAAAAGGACTGATATTAGTAAATGATTTCTTATCATAAATTAAAGCTCGTTTTCTAATTTTATTTAACTATACAGCAGGTAGCACTGGAAACTAAATATTTTGAAATGATTTCGTTGTTAGACATTTTTGACATGGCTGTGAAGACCACTTTAATCTTCTAAACACTCTCTTATATGGTAATATCTAAACAATACTGTCTTGAATGCTGCAAGCTGCACCTTACCAAGCACTGTGGCTACGAATACAGTCCCTTGCACTCGAAGAGCTTACAACTTAGAGGGGGAGACAACACACAGTGAGTGACACTACACATCCACCTAAAACCAGTGTCAACGCTGTGGACGACAGTAAGAAATGCCATGAAGAAGCCAAATGCTATATAATCTTACTGACCAATCTTGGGCCAGGAAGAAGAGATTGAGGAACTGCACTCCTCTCCTTTCACTACAGAAGTGAGGGGCAGACTACTGTGCAAAATACTGTTAATACAAGACTGCTGCCTTGTGGCTTATTTTGCTTAACAACTTCTTGGTGGTACAGGGAAAAACTCAAAGAGCGGAAGGAAAATTATTTAGAAACGACTGGTATTAAAAGGCATAGTGAATTACCTTAAAAACAAATGTAGAACTAAAATACTTAAAAACTGAATGGTAAATAGAAATATTTCATAATAAAATTTGATCAATACAATGTTAGAGGTATTTCTAAACAGCAATGGAAAAATAAAATGTTATTTGGATCCCATATACATCCAACCTAAGAAATTACAAAGGCCTGAAAGAACCTCCCAAGGAAGAGACCAAATGCTAATAGGAATCATCTTGACTGTTTCCCTCGTCAATGTTTCAGGTCAGAAAGACTTAACAATGTCTCAGGTCTCAGAAAAAGTGTGAAACAGCAAGTCCTCTCAACAGTGAAGAATTAGACTAAAGGCATGAAAATGGAACATGTATTAATTACTTAGAATCAAACAAGTATCAAAAGTTCTTGGACTAACGGTTTGGGACAGGACCCAAACTGAGATGTTAATCTCCACACTGCACTCTTTAACAGAAGGACTAAGGAGGAGCTAATCAGAAGAAACGTCTTCCTCTCCCTCCCTTCCCCTCCCTCCTCTTCCTCCTTCCAATAAGGTTTCTATTAATGGACTGCAATGACAAAAACTAAACTATACCAAAAGGACTAGATGAAAAGTGACATAAAATTAAAGTAGGTACACTAAGCATTCATAGAATTGAAAATAAATCCCAGTTAAATGATCATCTGTAATTGAAATAATTGATAAAACCTCCCTTTTGTCAACTTAGGAGCTAAAGAACATTAACAGAGGGAAGCCTAAGTACAAAGTTGTGATGTAAGGTAGTGAAGATCAGCAATGTTATGCATTAAAAGGCAGCTAGATTCCAGGTTTAAAAAAAAAAAAGGAAAAAAAGGCAACCCTCCAACTCCCCCCAACAAACAAAAAACCATCAACTAAGGGAGAATTCTATGGGAAGAGTGGACAGAAATCAATAAAAGTTAGCAGTATGAAAATCAGAAGATATCAATTTAAAAAATCTATACCAAGTTAAAAAGGACCTGGGATAAATAGCTTCAGTGGATTTCAAAATACCTTTCAAATAAGTAATTCAAAAATTACTTTTGCTCTGAGATTTCCTACTTTAAAAAAATTTTAAAATTTAGTTTGGTTATTAGTGATCAAATTCCTCCTCTTCTCCCTCATCGATGTCCAGGATAATGAGAGATTTTTTAAAAACTATTTTTAATTTTGAGGGAGTAAAAATCTACATTAAAAATTAATATAGGGTGCTTAGGGAAAAGAGACAAAATAGGTGGCTTAAAAAAGCACTGGAATCCAAATTCCTATCCAAAAAAATTCAAAATACTGCTATTTCAAGTACAGACTAATAGAGAAGAGAAAGTAAAAAAAGGTTTAGACTAGCACACTACAAAGTAAACTGGGAAAAACAAAGCATTCCATGTCCAAAGTAAATGCGAAAGGAGATTATAGTGAAACTGTGAATCTGTTATAAACAAGGTGTTTGTAAAAGTATATAATAAATTCAATATGTTACTTTCAAAGCTGTCTCTGGCTTGCCTGTATTTTTCCCACCTGAACTTTCTTTTCTTTTCAGCGCATTTTAAAAAAATCACTTCAACCTGCCCTTTCTGGGCAGGACAAATCATTAGCTCCCCTCTCCGTCAATATTACCCTGCTCCCTCCAGCAAAAAGAAAAAAACCATTTTTATAACAAATAAGCAGTCAAGAAAAATAAACCCAAACATCTGCAATATCTAAAACTGGACACCTTGAGTCAATTACCCCTTTTGACAGTAGGTAACATACTTCATCATTGGTCCATGGGAGTGATTGAATTGATCAGAGTTTGCCTTTACAATGTTGCTGTTACTGTATAAACAATCTCCCTGGCTCTTACTTCACTCTGCCTCTGTACTCATTACAAGTCTTCCCAAGGTTTTGGGAAAACACCCACCATTTCTTCTTGCATAAAATATTATTACATTCCTACACCAAAATTTGTTCAGCCATTCCCCACAGTTCATGTCTCTTCCTTTGATTCAGGTCATGAAAAACTGCCATGTATATTTCTGTACACATCCTTCTTTGGTCTCTTTTTGGTATAAACACAGGCTCAAAAACAAAAAACAATAAGAAATTTATCCAAGAGGTGGAGATGAACATGCCTCAATGGCCTGAGAACTCAGTGGATGTAAACATCATTGAAAATCCCAGGGCTGTAATCGGGGCTAGATTTGTAAAAAGTAGAATGTTCAAATTTACACTTAATAGTCAACATGCTATGTGTGTTTTCATGGTGAAATATTGAAAAAATGTGTCAAAATCTTTTAATTTCAGGTCTTACTGTATAAAACAAATGATTGTAGCAGGGCATACTGAACACTGAATTGTAAAGCTAGGTAAGAAGTTGTAAGGACAAAATTAATTTTTTATTCAGGTCAAATCTTTTTGTACACTACCACAGAATGTTACAACAGTCTCGACCAGTTGTGTTGGCTTTGCTTTAGGGGACAACTGGAGGTAGGGGCATAATAGGAAATAATGCTGGTATAAAAACAAAAGGTACCAAAAACATTTTGAAAAGAAGGCAATCTTGACTCCCCCAGTGAATCTGGGCCCATGCAGCTCCTGGAATCATACCAGAAGTTTCTTTTAGATATTTAACTAATATCCATGTTGGAAAATTTTAGGTCTGGATAATTAGAATGACATTATTTTCTGCTGGTCACACTAAAAAACCTCAAGCTGCTGAACACCTAAATAAAATTTGATTTTATTGCACAGTAAACCCAGAGGCCCACTAAGCTCTGCTTACTCACTAGCTATGACCCCTTGTGCAAATTAGTTACCTTTAAAATCCATTTCCTGATCCGTAAACTGAAGGTTAGACTAAATGATTTCTAGTGTTCTTTCCAAATCTAATACTATGTGCCTATTATTAGCCATAGATATCCACATTTGAGGGAAGCAAGGACAGGAGAGAGTACTATTTATCCTATAAGATGATCAGGAACAATGAAGTACAGAAGTTCACAAAATATAAGAACAAAGAAGAACGACTATGCTTGGCGTGGATAGGACAGCAGGTAACCAATCAGGCTAGAACAGACGAAATATGAATCTCTTAAAAGATCTCTAAAAACCTGCCATTAAATCTATAGGGTTAAGTGTCCCTCTTCAATAGACAAGTGGTCTAAGGATATGAACTACCAGCAATCTTATTAAAAATTGTTCAAAACACCAAGGCTCAGAGGAATACAAGAAAAACAACTCGATGTGTTTACCTAATACCCATCAAATTAGCAAAGATAAAAAAATGGGAAGAAGTATGCTACAGGAAAACTAGACACACAAATTCATTACTGGCAGAGCTGTGAATTGGTGCCACTGTTCTGGAAAACAATTTGGAATCTGAAGAAAAATTACTAAATTGTACTGCGAGAGAATACTGACAGCAACATACCCCCAGGGTTTGCCCTATTTATATACACAGCAACACTATTTTTGATAACAGAAACACTGGGAGAAAATAGGTGCTCAACAACTGGAAGATGGCTGAAGCATCATAATGGAGAGTTCAGAGAAAATGGTGACGCTTTTATGAAATGATACAGAAAAAGAAAGTGAATATAAATGTTAATTACAATGACATAAAGTCAACAATGAGGTAACAAAATTCTCATCAAGAACAATTGCTCAGTGTTAGTACCATACTATAAAAGTTAAAGGGCAATCCCTCTTTTCTGTTAACAAACAGTAAATTTTTAAAGTATCTTGTAGAGGGTTTTGAACATTGGGGGCACTTACTCCCTATACAGCATTAGGATGGACAGCAGCCTTAAAGGATAAGGAGGAGTGAGTATACAGCACTAAGATTATCGAAGGGTAATTGTCATTAAACCTAAAATTGCCTAAAAATACTATTACACAAGATATTTCAATTTTATCCTCAAGCAGGACTCAACAATTCTCCAAAAGATCTAGGATTCCTATAATTTCCAAAATTTATCTTTTATAAATCTGGGGATTAAAAAAAACTCCCACAAAAACAAATACATGTATTAGAAACAGAAAAATATTGCTATGAAAAGTGACTAATTCTTTGTCAAGAATGAGATTTGGATTTCTGAAGTGACCATTCTTCAGTTACTGGCAAAATTACAGAGTATTATTGAAGAGATGACTGTAAATATCTCTAAGTACAAACAACTCAGAGCCAGCAGGGCTTCATCAACAGATCATTCAAGATAAGATGGGATTAAGCAAACTGGTAGATCAGAGGGAAATGCGATTACAGCCTACTGAGACTTAAGCAAAGTAAGTGACAAAGATAAAAACTACACTAAAACAAAGTACAATTAGATGGATTCAAGAACTAGTTGTCACAGCCAGACCCAAAGAGTGGTAATTTAATGTTTTGGTATCAACTTGGAAGTGACCAGTACATGGCCTCTGATAAACATTTTTATTAACGACATGGATAATGGCATAGATGAAATGCTCATGAAATTTACAGATGATAGGTCATGGAGGAGATAGCACATTGTATTAGAGCCTGGATTTAAAAAGACCTTGCCAGGGTAAAACATATTGAATTGAACAAGATAAAACTTCATGCAAAAAAATGTTAAATACACCATGTTGGCTGCAAAAAAATAAATAGAGTCAATGTCTCAAATGCAAAATGGTAGGAGGAGTGAGGGTAAATAGCCGGATAACAAACAGTTTCACTGAAAAGGCTCTGGGAATTTTGGTGGGACTGCAAGCTGAACCAATCAACACAAGCATTCCTTGAAAAGGCCACACAGTTGGAAACTCAGGTTTTCTGACAGTTTGTATCTATGTCTCCACATGTGTTTTCTGGGAGTTTGTATCTATGTTCCCACATTTATCTCTCTTCATTAGTACCTAATCCCACTGCCTTGCCAAGAATCTGTGAAGCAGTGTTCAAAAGCTTTTCTCAACACTATCTGCACTTTTGCTGAAGGTCCCATACCAATGCTATGCCCCAGCCCTACAATTAGAGGAAAAAATAAACCAAAAAACCCAAAACCCGAACACCAAATAAAATGAACATTTCCGTTTACAAAGTAGAAGAGAAAAAGAACACTGAACATGAAACCACAAATCATGTTTGTACAGTTTGTTTTCCTTTGGAGAATACAAAGTAAGATCAACATGCAACTTTCAGAGCTGTCTTAGTCGTCTGCATTTCCTTCTATCAGTATCCAAAATTAAAGGATATATTCTGAAACAGATTGGACAGGACACAATGTATTATTTAGTCTCATGGAATCAGAATGTTCCCAAATCACCTAAGTCACTGCTTAAAAACAACAACAATCAAAAACGAACTTGTCTATGTAAATTATAGTAAAATATTTAATTGAAAAAAAAATTTGGGACTCATCCATTTTATAAGATTTGTTTTATGAATTCCATATAATCATGATTAAAAGCCTTTTGTTATTTCCTAATTTTTCCCTTAAAAAACCTGTGTTCTTATTTCCCTCTGAATAATTAAGAGAGACTGCAGTACATTTAGTTGCTTATCAACTGATAAACCAGCGAACAACAAATGGTAGAACAAGCGTTATATGTAGCAACTTGCATAAATCTACAAAGTTATGCATGATATAAAAAACTCAGATGAAATGGGATCATCACGTTTTAAGTGAAGAATTTTGAAAAGATTCACTGAATAAGATCCAGACCATACTTTATTGGTATTCCCTCAAGCATTAGTAACAATTGTTGCCAGGTAAGTTTCTGCTGTGGGAAATTTGCTAAGAATAGCTACAATAACATGGGGTGGGTGTTTTACAACTTACCAAACTCAAAAGAAATGCTTAAATAAAAAACTGACCAAGATTCCTCCTCTTTGACACTGCCTGAGCTTAAGAACAATATCTCATCACCACCTGGAAACTACTGTAAAGTCCTGGGAAACTCCACCCCAAACCATCTGCTGGTTTTAAAATTATGGCTCTGTGGGCCAAGATAGATCACCTGCCCAAAGACAAGCAGATTTGTAGTGTGTTACAACTAATAGCAAAAAAGTTTTTTTACTACAGGTGGCCCGTTTTTCAAGACAGGTGAAGACATCTTGAGTTAAAAATAAAATCATTTTGTAAAGTACCTAAACCAATTTTGCATGGCAAAACAGCTGGACCAACTCTTCCTAGACAGAGCAGCAAGAAGAATTAATTCTCATTTCACTTCAGGAGCTAAGCAAGAGTGCCTCTTTATTTCAAACGCTATGTAGTCGCAAAGGACTTTGGTTCAATTTCCAGCCAAATCTTTTACATGTAGCCATTAGAACATTTTGGTGGGCTAAACCCAAGCAAAACAGCTCTGACTTTTCTCCAGAGAAAATGGAGTATGCAATGAGAGTTAGTAAGCTGACTGAAACTTAGGGGACACAAAAAAAATTTCTAATTCATAATAAACACATCTATCAAAAATAAGTTCTTTAAATTGAGGGAGGAAATGGTAAAAAAATAGTTCCTAATCATTATGGGGTCTTCAAAAAAGAGCAAAGATGACCACTTATTGAGGATGTTATAGAGATTATCAGTCTGATAAAGGTTGAACCAGAAGGATTTTAAGGTCCCCTCTGACTCTGAGCTTCAGCCATACAAATTATTCCAAATGTTTAAAGAAGTGATAGGGGTCACCATGCAACATTTTAAGCATCCTGTTTGGATCCACAACAGTCGCTCTTCCCTAAATTCTCTTCCCCTTATTGGTAGTCACAAAGCTGTCAATGTGGTATCTTACCTTTCCATCAGCTTCTCTTTATCCCAATTGAAATGGCTAAGGAGTATTCTTGTGATAGTTGCTGGATTCTAAAGGAGGGAAAGAAGTCACATTAGAGCAATACCATTTCAATGACATTCAGTGAACTCTTCTGCTGAATGTCTTTGTATCCCTTGTGACTAGCCCAGTACTTGGCACATAGGAGGTACGCACAAAAGCTTGCTGAATGAATGAATCAAGTACTGAAGAAAAACAGCCTAACGGAACATCTTCCCCTTTCTTTTCCTGAAATGTGTCCTTGCCTCCTTTCTAGAGAGATACAAAATTTAGACCAGATAGATCCTACTTCAAGGACCTAAACTCTTAAGTGTAAGATCAAGCAGGGAAAAAAATAAAATAACCACACTGTTGTACAAAAAAGACCGAGCAGATTCTAGAAGATATCGCCAAATTGGAAAATTATCTTACTAAAAGTCAAACAGAATTTTTAAAAATTCAAAAGATTAATAAGGCACTTAATAAATGCTTGTTAACTGAAGTTATCATCTGTATCAGAATGTTTAATATTTTCCATATCCATATATCAGAAATTTTAGTTGCATTTGAATGCATTGTATTTTTATGGAGAATCAAAGTCAAGTTAAAACAACTGAATTTATTTCAGAAACATCTGTAACAAAATCAAGGTGATTATTTTACATGTAAAATCACACTGATATATTATTGCTACAAGCAAAGTATAAAGACAATAGCAACAAACATTTATTAAGTACCTTTTACATGGGGAAGGAGCAGCAGTATTTACAAAAGACAAAAATGACTGTTCCCAGTGCTCAAGGATCCTACCTTCTTCAAGGAGGCAGATAAAACATTGTAGGCAGGAAAGTATGACATAAAAAAAAAGTGACAGTGACAAAGGAGAGACTATTTTCAACCATGGAATAATCTCAAAGTTCCAGTAACTCATCGATCTGTCCCCTTGATGAAAGCACCATAAATCTGCTTATCTTGCAAAATTCTCATGAGCTCGTTATTCACAAAACCAGAATTATTAGATATAAAGACATTCTCTGAGAAGGCAACAACTGAACTGGGTTTTAAAGGACAGCAGGAATTCAACAAGCAGAAAGGAGAAAAGAGCATTCATTGGAGGCATAGCCAGTGAGCAAAGTAAAGACACATTCTAAAAGTAAGCATTAGGTAGTGAAAGACGGAACAGAATCAAGCAAAGTGCAGTTAAATGCTCAGTTTGGATAGAACAAGTAACCTGGAACAGAATAATATAACACAAGAATGGAAAGATAGGTGCAGGCAAAGGGTTCTGGACTTGCAATGCAAAGGGAATATCAGATGCATGCATTAGTAAATTACGACCATGGCTTCAGCGTAAAAGAATAGAATGAAAGATCAGAAAGGAAGAAAAGAACTAAAAAGAAAACTGCTTAAGTGGGTGAAAATTAAGGTCTGTTGTAGGCTATGGCAGTGAAAATATAAAGAAAATACGTGAAAGATCAAAAAAGCATTTATTAGGTGCCTATTCTATGCCAGGCACTATGCTAGGCATTGGAGATACAAGTACAATGAATGAAATCATTAGGCAAGGAAGCCTACATTAAAAACATACATAAATGTTAAATATAAATTTAAAGTGAATGAATAGAAATGTCAGATGCCCCAAGTCTTAGTGCCCGCAGTTTCAAGTTATTAGAGTTTAAAATAATAGCTAAGACTTTTGGGACACCCTATACACACTAAGTAAACACAACAACAGCAGGGGGGGGGGAGAGCAGTAGTATTTGAGGAGGAAGGAGGAGAGCAAGAACAGGAAATGCTTATTAAGACAATGGTGCTTCAGCTGCATCTTAAAGAAAAAGACTGAGATGGAAGCAAAGAGGGAGTGCATTCCAAGTACGTGCTATGTCCAGTACAAGGCCAGGTGAATATCCAGAGAGAGGAGGCCAGTCTCGCTTCATCACAAAAGTGTTTGAGGGAGAGTAAAGTCCAATGAAGCTGGAGAGAAGGTTGGAGTCAGGCTGAAGAGGTTTTAAATGCTTAAAGAGAGGAGTTATTTTACCTTAGAAGCAACAGAAAGCCAGGAGGTTACTATGAACATGGGCACAGAGTCTGTTCTCTCATTCCATACTCAAAAGAATTTTTTAAAAATTCTGTAATCCTATAGAAGTCTCATGAAAGGAAAAATCATTTTATTTTAGGGAGAGATAACTTTAATTTTGAAAAAGTTTGAGTTTAAAGTACTAGTACGTAAGGCATGCCCACATGATGTGGAAATGTTGGAACTGTCCAACAGATAGCTAACTAGGGCTTCAGAAGAGAAGGAGGACGAAAGGCAAGAATCTGACCATTATCTGAATGGTGTATATTAGGTGAAACTAAAGGAAGAGGAAAAAGGTCAAAGACATGTCCTTGGGGGATACCATTATTAAGGGGTCAGGAAGATGATGAAGAGTCAGAAAGGAAATAGAAGGGACTGTCAAGAGAGATAGGAAAAACTTAACATTATGGTATGTCTAAAGACAAGGGGAAGACTGGGAAGGGATAAGCAGTGTCAAAAGAAAAGTTAAGGAGAATGAAAAGTCATCTGGGTTTGGCAATTATCACAGCAGTCTTGCCCATATAGCTGGTTTGTCATAGAAAACCAGGGATCTCTACCCTAATGCTAAACATAATTCCATAAATGATACTACAAAGTGCTTTCCTTTGGGATCTATTCACAATGGTTTTCATATCTATTACTTGTTAAGCAGACAGGGAGGGCATTACAAAGATGAGAACCAACATGGTACAGTAGAAAGAACTCTTGCAACGTTTTATACTTCAGTTTCCTTACCTGAGAATAGGAATACTTACTGCTATTATTTCATTTCCACAGTAATATTGTAAGAAAAGTGTTATATCAATATCAGCTCTTATTACCATTCCTAGCTAATTCCCCCCATTTCTCTCAGCACCCTGGACAGAAAGGAAGGTTTATACCTTCATTTTTTCCCTAAGGTGAGCTTTTCCCCTTGCTAATTATTCACTTGCTCTTGCAGACTTATCAGTCTGTTCCTGAGTTTCTTAGCACAGCATTCTGTTTAAAAACAAAAACAAAAAGACCCAAGCAATTCTAATGTCCACTATAAAGAGTTAATTATGGAATGTTGCCTGACTCAAAATCACAAGCTTTTATGCCTCCATAAAAAATATGGAATGCCCATATTTCCACTCTCCACACACCCTCTCCTCTACACATTTATACTCACAACAAGAATCTTATGGAATATTTTCTTACACAACAGATTTAACTGTTCTACCTCTTTTAAAGGTTTGCCCAAGGTCATACATTAAAAAAAGAGATACTTGAATCCTTGTTCTGATTTCAAATTCACTTATCTTTTTACTACACTCCACATGAATGAAGTAGTTTAGTATTGTGGGCACTGTGAAGTGAGACTCTTAAAACGTTATGAAAAAGTAAGAAAACTGAGGTCAGCAGGTTATCCTCTTTTAGAGTATTCCTAAAGCTTTCAACAAGCAACTTAAGTCTCCCACACGCAAGTGTTTTATACCAGTGCTTTCAGCAATTCAGTTCACATCATTTCCTTTCCTTTCTCTCTAAACCTCCTTATATCAAGAATAAAAATCACTAAGCGGCTCACAGCTGAGACACATTTAGGTTATCGAAGGAAAGGAATAGCTGCAATCTTTTTTCCAGTGCATTCATTTACCTTCCCTGAGTACCTGCTGTAAATGTCTGTGTAGTGTTATGTGCTGCACAGAGAGCCAAAACACACATGATCCATTTTATCTTCCTAATCACATGCAGTCCTTGAAGGTCTTGTTCTTGGTCTTCCACAGCTGATACTCAGTGAACAGTTCTCAATTTGGAAAAAAGACAGGAATCTAAGTACATACACCTTTCACATTGCTGCTAACAGACCAAATGAAACTAGGCTGCTTCTAGTTTTTGGGAAAATAAACCACCCCTCAAATCCCTGCAGTCAAGGTACATCATATAATGTCCACGGATACTAAGAGTAACAACAGTTTCATTTACTAAACAATTACCAGTAAACAAGTTTGCTTTGAACAAACACTTAAAAAAAATCTAATGAGAGATGCTATCACCACAAAGTAAACAGATAAAATTGGATCTGCATTTGGAAGCATATTGGGTACCTGAAAAGTCAGGAATAATTTATTCCTCTCAAATTAGGACTTGAAATCTAGTTAACTTGATATGGATGTTTTAGAATTATGTTCTTTTACGGCCATATCTTAAAGCTCTTTTAATCTATGTTCCTATTGAATATGCTTTATTGATAGGCAGTCATAAAGTTCAGTGAGGTGCTAACACTTCAAAACAATTATTCCTGTTTGTAACCATCTGGAAACATTTTCCAAAATCCTTAAGGGTGGAGGGTACCAAGAACAAAGTATTGAGGGGGTGAGGGGGGGAAATACACCCTGATTTTATTATACCAAGTAGACTATTAAAATGGGAATTTGTTAAATGTTTTTCTGACCTGATAAATGACACCAAGCATACTTATATGATTACTGTTTCTTAATGTACTTTTTTCCTAAAAAAAAAAAAGAATTTACAAGCTAATCTGAATTAGTTTTTACTAAGTTAATAGATGCTATTAGTTTGGCCGTGGGAGTCTCTGCTTGACAACAAAGAGGAAACAGGTAGAATGACTTTCAAATTAACACTAGGAATGTTTTAAGTCAGAGCAACAACTGAAGACTGACTACATTCATAATCCTGTTAGGTGAAAGCTAACCAACCTGGAAAGTATAAATCACAGTATTAGTTAAAATAGCAATATTATTTCTGTGTTATAAGTAAAGAAATTGAGGCTCATAGATGTTGAGTGACTCGTCCATGGTCATGGTGTTATATACAGTATTGGAACCTAGGTCCTTCTAAGTCCAGCCCTATATCCATTAATGTCAGGAAATGAAGAGCTAATAGAACATTAAGGGCAGATTTGTCTATTGCATAAGAATTTTCTCCCTCCACAACACGTGACAAATGATCACCTGACAGTCTTTGCCTACAGACTCCAAATGCAGGGACTCTGTT